TGTGATGAAATATAGCACAGGAAACAAATGAAAGAGATTACATACAAAACACAGTATTTCAGCTTTCTTTCAGGTGCAAGTGACACCTTAAGCTACAGCAAGAAAGAAGGAAGGAAGTCTATCCAGTAAAGGAGGTGCTAAAGCAGCAAAAAAACAACTCAGGTGTGAAGAGAATTTGGACAAAGTACTCTGACGCCATTCTGTCATGTTTGTTGAGAGCATGTCATTTAGCCTTCCCCGTATCTCAGAATGTATTAACAATTACATATGTAACACAATGCAGGCAAGGTGCGTAGTTTTATGATATTTTAAGTGAAAACTGAAAGAAATTAATTTTAAATGTATATAATGCAATCTAGAGAGGAAGGATCTGATTAAAGAGGCAATATAAAAGAGCTTGTCAGAAGACTCTTCAATAGGGATACACCAAATTCAATAAGAGGGATACAGAAACAGTCAAGAACAACCCTACTGTTAAACGCAATCTAGAATTTGATTTTGTAATAGTCTTTTTTTTCTTTGCAACCTTGTTTGCAACTCTGAAATAAAAAGCCTGGCCTTCTGTATTTCTGAATTAAATTAGTCAATCCAGATAAAGCAAAGCGTGCAAGCACAACTCCAAAGATGTTGTTTAGAGGAACTGGGTTGAAGAGCACTTTTCAGGATGCTGTCAGTGTAACAGGGCTGAGTTTTGGAGAAGAGTTCCTTTGCCAGGCTTAAGGCATCATTCCTACTGTGAAAAGAAGCAGTAAAGTGACACCTCATAGCTCTGAGCAACCTTCTAAATCAGGAGGTGGATTTTTTTCCTCCCCTGAATAAGCAGCAGCATCTCAAAGTTGCGTGCTGTGCCACACACCGCTCTGAAGTGGTCAGCTCACTATCATAGATGCAGGTATCATAGCTTGGGAACTACCAAGGACAAGTTTGGTTTGGGGTTTTTTTCTTATTGATTTAATTTAGGTAATGGGAGATAAACACATTTGGGAACTAAAAATATCTGCACACCAGGAAAGTACTGATTTTTTTTATTTCATATTAACGCCCCCAAAGTTTAGCTAGCAGCAGTCCTACCTCGCTATGTCACTGAATTGCTGTCATCAAGCCTATCAAATGTTTTAAAACACACAGTTCAAGCTCAGAGTCTACTGGAAGACGTCGCTCACACGTCACTTTAAATAAATTGTAGTTAAATTCCTCAAATTATAAAGATTATAGAAAATGTTACGTGTCTTTATTGGTCAATTTTCTGCTCTTTTCAGTTAAATATCCATTAATTTCTTAACACTAAAATTCTGTTATGCCTGTGAAGCTTTATCACATTTTGCAAGTAAGATGGATTTTGTCATTGATGTGTACACCTTACTATAGACAGTTGTATAATGGAATTAACTGTTACAGCTGTTTTCCGATCTAGCCAACATGCACCGCAGAACATCTTCAACACAGCAAGCTGTCATATTAAATGTCATGCAGATACTTCTATTCCCAGTACATTTGAAACAGCAGTTTTCAAAGCCACTTAGATACCACTCGGCTCAGGCTCCACAGAGGATTTATGCCTCATTATTAGCATTAACTTTTCCCAAGAATCTTAAATTTTTATGCTTTATTAGTCCTGTTCATTGAAATATGGAAAAGCATTCAACCTCTTTTTTTTCCTAGAGAATAAAGGAATGGGAATTCTATAGGAAGCATCTTTAACCAGTTTACTCCATAACACCGTTTTTATTTATTTAAGCCACGTGAGGCAAGAACCACCCCAACACCTTTTATTCTAATACATACAATCAAAAAGTAGCTATATATTTGTATCACTACAGACCAACGGTCACCTCAACAGTCTATGAACATTTCTTAAGTTATTTCAGCATTGCGTTATCAGCGATCTTAACATATGATTGCATAAGGCAAGCAAGAATGACAACACGAACCCTTCTTTCCAGTGTTTCCTGACCTGGGAGGAAACAGGCACCTGCAGAACTGACTTTACATGAGGTTCGGAGGAGGAGACTTTTTTTTTCCCTCCCCAGTTTACCAGACAAGTA